ACATAGTTGGTAGGGGGTGGGGGCGCCTCCTACTACTACTACTACTACTACGACTACGACTATGATTAGAACGACCACCACCACGAACACCACCAACACCACCAACACCAGCACCAGAACCATCAGCACCACCAGCACCAGCACCAGCACCACGAGCACAAGCACGAGCACGAGCACGAGCACGACCACGTCGACGACCACAAGCACGAGCACGACCACGAGCCCGACCACAACCACGACGACGACGACGACGAGGACTACCACGACGACGATTTTGACGACGATCACGGCGACGATAATGACGACGATAATGACGACGATGATGACGACGATAATGACGACTTTCTTTCAACCGCCGCAAGAGAATCCTGCGTTGCGAACTCTTGATTTTCAAGACAGAACTCCCCTTCGGGGACAACTGCTCCTGAATGGCCCCGACCCGAAGGTCCCGCAAGCGGACCATTCCAAGTCTGGATGTTGGCTACACAGAAGGTAGCACTTACAGACCACGTATCTTGGTTATGAGCCCAATCCAGACTACGGAGTAGCAAGGTAGCTCGAGTCCGCGCTGCACAAACATTGTGGTTAGAGCAGCACTTTGACTCTAAGAAGCTACTCAGGAGGTGCTACAACGTCCCAGAAACAACAAATATGCATGTTGAAGTACCGCAATGATTTCGCCTGGTTTGATTTTGGCAGTTCTTTTGCCATCAGCTGTGACAAACACGAGGTCACCTTCCTGGAGTAGGGCAACCCTGTTGCAGCCTTGCAAGACGTCAGCACCTTTGTTGAAGGTGATTGCATGAACCTGGTATGGATGCCTAGCTATTGCTTTATTTGCCCCGGAGAAATAAGGTATTTGAACCTGCCAGAGGCCTTTGATTTTACCCTTAAGTAATTGGCCGCTGGAGCCGTAGCGCTGAACTTGCAAGACCCAAACGGATGGCAAAGAGCGCAGTCCATGGACCTGAGCTTGAGTGTGCCAGCTGTCTATATAAGGCTTTGGACACAGCACAGGTGCTCTGGGTTCAGGGCTGCTGTTAAGGGCAGAGGCCACGCATGTCCTCTTGCCATTGCCTGGCCGAAAGGCATGCTGGGATCAGAAGGAGTGACGCAGGCTTGCCAGTCACCTGCCTGATTGCAATCACTGAGCTTGGGTCGCAAAATTGCAGAAAGTTTGCAGGGTCATGCCTCTGCAGAGGTCTCTGCCATCCACGCGTGATGGTTTGCCATGTAAGAATGGACAGGCTGAGGCTTGTGCTGAGTACTCAGCCACTGCAGAAATCTCAGGAGGCCGTTACGCGGAACCGACATACCACCTGGCGTGCAAGAAGCAACCCATAATAAGGACACTATAATGCAGTTTGAGTAACTGTGTTCATGTGGGTTTGAGAGCTGCAGCTGCAAGATGCTGCCTGGCCTCAGAGCTCCTGGATCATCTTGTCTACAGCTGTCGCCAGTGGGCTTCTGCCCAACTTGGAAGGCCGGAGGGCAGAGGCTGCCAGGTGCGTGCAGCCGCTGCGGATCATTCGTCCGATCAACTGATAAGTCATCTGGGATTCCTGAGTTCGGTTTTGAGTCTCCAGCGTCCACGGGATAACATCGCTCTGCATATCCGAAGTCAGTTTGCGCAGAGGATGGAACCTCCCAACCACGTTGGGATGAACGATGAGTTGATGCAGCTGGTCCACCACCTGGATCGCATCCTTGATGGAGAGAGGATCCTGCGGATCCTTCTGATGTTCCCCCTCGTCGGGATTCCATTGCAAATAGGGGAACTGTTCGTTTTCCAGAATCCCCATGCGAACCGCCTGGTCTTTGACATCTGGCTTGGTCTGAATCTCCTCGATGCGATACTTTATCGCAGTCAGCCAGGAGCTGAACAGAACTGTCCTCAGTGGCTGTCCCAGTGGCACCCCACTGCATATAGCTGCGGAGTGACGCTCCAGTCCGGAACATTCTTTGCCTGCCCCTTGTTGGGGTTCCTCATGAAGATTATCATCTGGCAGTCGAGTTGCATCACTGCCAAAGAATCTTCTTGGCGCAGCACCAATGGTCCGAGAGCTTTGACCACGCTGCGCAAGTCCTCGTTGGACTTGTAGCCCTTGTCTTTCTCCTTGTCCCACCACGTGAAGCCTGCGTTTTAACTGGATGTAGGGATTTGTGCGCCATCCCACGCAACAGGCGGTGACAACGCAAGTGGGCGGTGGATGTGCGCGAATTCAACCGTTTGTCATAGCGACGTCTGCAGGCAATAAAAGTTTCCGCAGTCGAAGCACAAAGATTTGTACAAATTGCATAGCACTTCAGCTCCTCAGTGGATGTGCCTGCATGTGGCTTGTATAATATTGCATAGCTGATGTCGAAGGAACTGCGCGCCAGTCCATGAAACAGGTTGCACCAATGCAAGCGCACGTGGACGTGCACGAATTCAACAGTCGGACCCCTGCGCGTCTTGACTTGGGCTAACAATGCAAACGCATAAACTGGCAGGACAGTTCAAGCAACGTTCAGAGCTCCAATCAAACACTGGGTTGCAACAGTGCAAACGCCATGGAAAGCTCAAATCAGACACTGAGATGCAGGTGCAGCAATTCTGCTGAACATGCCATTCCAATCCCATAAAAGGGCCATATGGTTCAAAATGTGGACCGTAGCATGTGCCCACCGTGCTGGAATCCCCGTTGCCACAGCGTCCCTTTCTGTAAAAATCGGATCGTCCTCCAAAAGGGCTGGCATGTCCACAATCAATAGCACCTAGCAGAGCATGCACCACATCCACGCGGCACACTTCGCCTCCGATGTCTGGGTGGCCACCTCTTTCAGTGTTGGGCAGGCTTGGACTGAAGCCTCTGATAGAGTCGAGACAGCAGTCGAGAGCTGGACAAATGATGCCTGCACCTCGAGCGCTCGCACTCGTCTGGCTTGTTTTTCAGCCTCCAAGACTTCTGCACCTCTAGTCATCGGGTTTGTGGCGACATAACGACCTGGGCCCACCTTCGTGTAGCTTCCCTCTCTCTAGTGGCTTGTGCCAAGCTCTGTGAAATCTCATAGTTCTTCCACGATGCACTAAGTTCCAAAATCGTTGTCGTGATGCAAGGTTAATATCTACGCATCTTGCGCAGTTTGCCTCTGTGTATCAACAGGTATCTTTATAAAAGAATCCACAAGTTGAAGATTGTCTAGAAGAAAGTGATGGCATGTTCTTCACTTGTGAATCTCAAAGCTTGAGCCAAAATGGCTACAGCGACAACAACGACGACGATCTTGACGACGATCACGACGACGATAACGACGACGATAATGACGACGATGATGACGACGATGATGACGACGATAATGACGACCACAATTACGATGATAATGACGACGACCTCGACCAACACCCACCACGACAACCACCATTCTGAATATCTAGAAGCCCAAGCCCCCCGAGCCGAAATAGTGCTGGCTGCAGGCCATGCGCAGGCCTCAACAACAACTAGTCCCTAAAGACTTTATTCAAATTATGCTTCAAATCTATCCCCGAACGCATATTTTCATGTGCTCGGCCCTCATATTCAATTGCTACGGAAACCATAAGTTCCTGCTCTGATTATGTTCCATTTCATCTTGCAGTTGATTCTCCAGTATTCAAGCCCGAAACCCTCCATATCCCTGTACAGCCTCTACACCCTGTAAACCCCTTTAAAGAGACCGTTCTGCTAATCATTTAGGCCCTTTCAATATCCTCTCCTAAACACTAAAATCCTAAACCTGAACCCTGAAATCCTAAACCCTAAAATCCGAAACCCTAAAATCCTAAACCCTAAACCAGAAATCCTAAACCATAAAGTCCTAAACTTCTAAACCTTAACACCCTGAACCCTTAAAGCCCAAGCCAGCCTCGCCACTCGATGTCTGGCGCAGCACTGTATTCGGCAGGGGCGTCACGTCCCTGGAGCCTCAGGGCTTAAGGCCAAGCCTATAATGTATGTTTAGGGTTTAGGATTTAGGATTCAGGATTTAGAGTTTAGAGTTTCGGTTTTAGGTTTTAGGCTTTAGGGTCACATGGGGCTATATAAGAATATGGAGCAATGTAGGCTCATATGAAAAAGAACATGCAAATATGGAAGCTGGGTTTACGTATGGGTCGATAAAACAACCTAAGGGCCTAAATTATTACCAACATGAGGTCTGTTTTCGAAACAAAAATCTAGGACCACTACACTGGTAGTTATTCAGGCGTCTGCATTTGAGTTGTTCATGAAAGTTGCGGAGATTCTAGATTGGGCATTGTCTCCACCATGCAACAGTCTATATTAGGGGTTATATTCAGGGCTGTATAAAACTATATTATGGATCCGACTGTGACAGCCTGGGGGCAGTACCCACATTGAGACCTTAAAAAGATTGCACACCACAACTTTGCTACTGTAGCTTCTCAAGATGATGCCTAAATAATCCGTGATCAACACTCCATGACACGATTCTATTTGGGGTTTACAGGGTTTAGGGTGTAATGGAGAATCTAAAGGAAGAGAGAGCTGAAAATGGCTTGGGAACTCATTTCATGTAGCAGCTGATGGGCATTATGTATACCAGTGTTGACAGCAGCATGACGCAATAATGATCATGAAAGGAATTTTGTAGTGAATCCAACCCTGAACCGTGACGCTAAACCCTAAACCCAGCTATGGGTGCCGTAACTTTGTGTTGGGGTTGCCAAGCTTCAAGAACCCAAATAATAAAGCCTTTAGGGCCCAAATACCATTAATGTCATAATATTTGTGCCCGAAGACGCCGGAAACCCTATCATTTGGGTCCTTGGACCCTTAGGGAAAAGCCTCCCGTTATAAGCAGTGGTCCTCCAAGCCTGGTTTAGGGCACAAAAGTGAAATGAGGGGGTTACCGAGAAATTCAGACAGTTGTTCTCAAAACCGCTAAAGACTCCATCCTAAACCATAAAGAATCCTCAAATCGTAAGCCCCTGAATCCCGAAAAAACCCAAATCCAAAAAACTGAAATCCTAAACCCTAGACCTAACAAACACAATCCCATTCGCTACGCTGAAGACAACACATACCTGAACTCTAACCCTGAGACCCCAGTCTATAAATAACGCCTACGTTAGGTGTTAAATTCTATGAATGTTTCTACGCTGGGCTAGTTGGTAGGCACCCAATATAAAGCCCAAAAGACCATAATCCACATTATCGGGACCCCCAAAGTGCACCCCTGATTTTGGGAAACCTCAAACCCAAATCCCTAAATTTTAGATATCCCCCATATAATCCCTATAATCCCGTTAAAGGTACAGTACCCCTAATTTTGTGGAACCCCCTCAAGGCCTATGAAACCCGGGGCCTTCTGCTGAAAGGGTTGCCACCGCCTTCTGCGCAGCCGCGGAGATCGAGGAAGAGGCTACCGCTGCTGCGGAGGCGCGGTCCTGCTGTGGTTCAGGAATTGGGGGTTTGGGGGTTTAGGGGTTTAGGAATTAGGGGTTTAGGGTTTAGGGATTAGGGTTTGGGGGTTTGGGGGTTTGGGGCTTCAGGGCTGGGAGGGCTTAGGGGTTGTAAAGCCGCCAACTGCATGCAGCCGAAATGCTGGGAAGCATGCAAAGGACCCATTGGTTTGAGAAACGCCCTTATGGTCCAAACTCTATACCCGAAAACCTGGATCGTGTCTGAACTATGGTGTTGGGTAGTGCCCCCACTCATGAACAGCTGGTTACTATCAATATTATGGTTATATATAGCCCTTAATATGACCCCTATGATAGACTGTTAATGGGTGGGGGCAGGACCCTAAACCCTAAACCCTATTATAACATATTTAGGGGGTTCTGGGGAAGTAGCCCAGAAGTCACCTGGGCAGCTGCAATACGTCTCAAGCCGTTCACCGACTGCCTGATGGCCAGGAACTCCCCAAGTACAACTGCATCAAGGTTTTGGTTACTGAGGGTTTAGAGTTTAGGGTTTAGGGTGGGGCGGGG